CACTTTCTTCTTCTCCATACTCAACTTTACCTTCTTCCTTGTTTGAGTCTAATCTATTCATGTACATACATACATACATTTTATTCCTGAACTGCTGCTTAGCACGTTTCTTTAATTCGCTATCAATATTAAAGCATACATTTAGGGGGCATTTCCGCCCCAACCATGTACATGTGTGCATTGGTATTGGTGTGACTTTTGAATTGATTTTTTCGCTCTATTTTAAACTGATTTGAAATTTTAAAAATTGCCTGCACATCAGCATCAAAATACCTTTCTAATGATATATAACTGTTTATACCTTAGAAGTATAGTTTAGCCGTAAAAGAGGTGTAAAGGAAACATGATTGCCTATTTATATAATGATTATCGTGGGAACAAAACACTTACTAACTATATATATATATCTTAAAAAGTTGAAACCACAGCTGCCAACTATACTTAGGTATGAGGTGCCATATTGAGGATAAAAAAAAAGTGCCAAAATGTGCCAAATAGAAAAATAAAAGAGCCATTCTTTTTAATTCTTCCCATTTAGCATTAAAATTAGAAACACATTCCTAGTAAGATAAACCAGTTGTATAAACTATAGATGTTAGAAAATTTTGAGAGTTGAGAAAAAGAGGTACACGCAAACGATTTCACAAAAATGTATTGAACCATCTTGTAAAAACTACAACAAACACGTCGCTACTGACAACACCTTGTTATTATTCCACCCTGGTGGCTACCTTTGTCCATTTTCGAACACCTGCTTGTAGTTTTTCCGGTCATCATTACGGTTACGAGTAGTTTTAAAATTATTTTCCACAAAACCCCACTGCATCAATCTAGAAGTCAGCATATCGATTTGCCGGTGCGATAATTGCAAATCCCACACAATGTCTTTGTAAGCTTTGTTAGATAACTAGAAGATATTGCTCAGTCGAACGGCAGCCAATTGTAATAAGCTTATCACACTTTTTGGTATTAATAACGTTATCATCGTCATCACTATTAGGACCCATTTTACAGTGCGTAGTTAACTCAGAATCGGCAGTTAACTACAGATTTTTGTACTGACTACAACACTGTGAAATTGGCCCTAAGTATAGTCACTAGTTGACGTTTTTTCTTTGTTACTGACCGATATATTTAGGCTTCGTTACGTATTTGACATTAGGATATTGCACAAGATGTCGTGTTTTATATTTGTGCCCAAACAATGTTTTTAAACAAAAATAACAGTTTTTTTGTGAGTAGTTTTTCCGATAATGCCATAGCATTGGAACTGAAAATGGGACACTTCTTATTTTCCCACTCTTTGAATTCCAAGTTTTTGTTACAGATGCACATACCACACATGCATACGTATTCTGGTTCATACCACTGAATTTTGGTACACGTGCTTTAGTGGCATATACTATCAAAATCTGTAAGTGTGTGTGTGTGAAAATTCAAACAAAATTTTTCAGTTTGACATTAGAAGCCGTGAGGCGAAACACATACACAAAATCAGCTGATCTAGTAACACCATCTATTATATGAGGGATTTGCAACGGTGAGGTAAGTGTCGTATTGTTGTATGTCGTAACTTTAAAAGCTTAAATAAATGTTAAGAGAACTTGAAACCACAACCAACTATTTCTTAACACTGCGAAAATTCAAAACTTTTACATTTAACATACGATACTTTCGACACCGTGGTGAATACCCAAAAATTCGCCTTGGTAAAAACTTTCTAAGTTTAATTTTGAAGTCAAAGTTAATCGTTATATAAATATAAGTGGCGTATTGCATTCAAATTACAATTAACAGCCCTACTTTGAGTCATTTAATGATTACTTAAATCGCTCCTCAGTATAGATTTGAAGAAATTGCCTCTCACGAGTCATTAAACTTAAGTAAAGAAAACTTAAGAACGAAAAATGACACTGAAGATGGCACAACGCCGAAACCGGTTTGTCTCCAAACCAAATTTGACAAGGGATGACGGAAATTCGTTCCATAATACATCACAAAGAAAACCCCTTACTTATCTTTTAACGAGAGATTTTGACCATGTTTTATTTAGTATTCTTTTTGAATTCTTTTTTTGAATTGGAGCTGGATTTTTTAAATATTTCAAGTATGTCTGATTTAGAAGAATTTATGGAGTTTGTGGACTATGCAGGTATGCAGCGAGTCAACGAAATCGTTAGTTATACCCGGACGGGTACTAGTCACAAAATGTCAATTCCTTTTCCTGGCGAATTTAACATGGCGATGTCATTGGAGCATACGGAGCGGGCAATTACCTGGTATCGCTAGTGAAATGCCTAACGATCGCCAGCGAAAGTCCAGCCGAACTACAGTGTGAAGTAAGAGCGCTTAATGTATGATTTGATGTTGGTAAAAAATATGTATCAACATACTTGGGGTATTCACAACGGTGTCGTAAGTGTCGTATTGCTGTATGTCGTAAACTTTAAACGCTTTAAAAACATATTAAGGGATTCGAAAAATACCATCAAAGTTATATTATGAATTTTCGCAGTGTTAAAAAACAGTTGGTTGTGATTTAAAGTCCAATAAACGTTTATTTGAGCTTTTAAAGTTTACGACATACAACAATACGACACTTACGACACCGTTGTGAATCCCTCAGCTATGTTTTATTTGAGGAAATGGAAGGGATCGCTACTCCAATAAAAAGCTTTTCGTGCCATTTAAATTGAAATGATTTTAAAATGTTCATTTATTTAAATATTTTCGGAAAAACCAATTTGCCGAAATACACCAAATAATGACTCTGAGAGGGAACGTTGCCTAACAGATTTAATGGCAATTAACAAAGGGACAATTAAAGATACATAATTTAATGAATTTTTCTGAGTGCGGCTCTAAATGTAGTTTTATAATTTAGGAGTAGTTGTTTATGGTTTGCTATCGAAAATCATTTCTCATTGAGATTAAATCGACAAAAAACGGTAAAAATTTGTATTTTTTGAATATTTAAGGTAAGTATGCCATCTTGTTAAATCAACATCCGTTATACCGTTTTAAGCGTATTTTTATTTGCTTGCCAATCATACATATATCAAGACACGAAATTGGTTTAGAAATGTTTAAATTATAAGCAAAAAGAAAATGTAACTCTCAGTTTTCTGACCATAGCTCAAGATTTTGAGGGCATATTTGAAATTTCATGTCTGCAGTTTTTAATTACTCAACTAGGTCTTCAAGATGTGCCAAATTTTTTTTTCACTCTCACACAGTTATATTTTTCAGCACGGAATTGTTGTCGAAAGTACAATGGCTGTATAAAATTATAAATTGTATAAACTCAATAGGCTAGATAAACATGTATACGACAAAAAAAGGGCTTAAAATCTGTTAACTATGTATTAATGTGCTTTTAAGCAAAAGTAAATAAAG